GAAGGTGTCAAACCTATTTTAGTAGTAATTTACACAGCAAGGGATACAATAAGCTAACTAGCTACAGTATCAGGTAATTACTAAATCGCTTTGCTGGTGTACTCCAAATCAATCAATCAATCAACCCCAAATATAACTATAAATCGCCTACAGAGAGTCTTCAAGAATGACGACATCAGCGCTGAGACCAAAGTTTGCGTCTAAAATGCAGTTGTAATACCAACTCTTACATTTATGACTGCGAAATATGGACCGCCTGCAGAAGACACATAAAAAGCCTAGAAAAATATCAGCAGCGCTGCCTAAAGAGGATCCTACGGATTAAATGAACATTAGTGTTTTGAAGGAGGCCAAAACAACTAGCATGGAAGCCCTCATCATTAGGCACCGACTTCGCTGAACAGGTCACCTCATCCGCATTCCTGAAATACTTCTTCCAAGGCAGATTCTCTACAGTCAACTGAAGTAGGGAAATCGAAATGATGATGATTGTAGCTATTGTATATCCCAGTAGTTGGATGCTGCTCCAAAACGAGAAAAGCCTTAATCAATTGAGAATAGCTTACAAGTGCCAATAAGAGCCTTGGGTGTTTAAAAAATTATACCACGTACTTTTAGGATCGTTATTAAAGTTAGAAAATAAGTTCCTTGACACATTGATGGTCCGGAAGCTCTTTGTTTCCGAGATTGTTAAACTTTTTATCGAAAATAGTTGTTTCTATTGAAAAATGCTTTGGTTGATTCTAATAAATTGTCTTTTGTACCAATAACATTTAATCCAGTAAGTTCATGGTGCAGGCAAGTTGGTTAGTCGGTTAGACTCTGCATACAAGAATAATAATTAGTCGATTAATTTCACCTTTTTTTTTTATAAAAAATTTTGTTTTTTGTCTCATTTTTTTTTTTAATGCGGCTTTGTTTTTGAGAAAGCAAATAAAAACTGTTTCTCTGCTTGTCCCTGGGTGTCTACTCGAGGTTAAAAAAAAGTCTTTCTATTGATACTTCAAAAATGCTTTTGCCGGTTCTGATGAAACGTCGACAGTTTGTGTATCAAATTATGAGGCATTATTTAAATGAATAACTATTAAAACAACGCATTACTACGTATGTTATTTGGAATACCTTTGCCCAAACCCAGTATATCGGGAACGAAGCGTCTGCGGCCCCATGTTTATAGCCACTTTGAAGTTGCCAGCGAGGATAGGCCTGGGTGATAAAACCACTTTTATTTTTCTCTCGGCGACATTTCGTCCCTTTATTGGAACTTTTTCAAGGGTCAATATGTAGTATGGTTCTCAACCCACAAAAAAGTAACATTTTCCGTTAAACAGCATATTTTTTTTTTCCCTAAAAACAAATAACACTTGACATGTGCAATACATGAATTTAGTGCACCTAACTGCTGAGATTTGTTTGAAAAAAAAAAAATTAGCTATGTGAGTTATTCTGTATAAGTTAACACATTCAGCGCTAAGCCAATTTTATTGAATGGTTGCCCCATGCCTGAGTTGCGTTTAGTAATAGCACTCTGGGTGTGAGAGTGACCCCAGAGTAACTCTAAACCGTTCATAAATTAACAGGTGCTTACTCGGAGCGTTACGCTGGAATCGTTCAGAAATCAAGAGTTGACGTGCCCAGAGTGCGCCCAAATTACCCCACTCAGGGACTGGGTTGAAAAACGCCCCGAGATTTTTACCGGGTGTGACGTTGACATTTAGCGCAACACCCCAATTACGTTTAGAAAAGGCGCACCCAGACTGCACTCCAAGTGATGACGTCAGAACACTCTGATAAACAACTACTCTACCTTCACACTCCATTTCTAAACGCACTCCAGCTTTAAGACATGCTCGGGAGACACCAGTGTCCGCCCTGGCCCTAGAACCAGGAAGGAATATTTCTTATCCAACCAGGCCATAGCGAACACAAATTGGATAACTTCCCAGGCCATAGCGGACATTTTAGGGGACACAATTATAATCGGCAGACATCCGCTGAAGAAGTAAGTATATATTATAGTGTGTCCGCTCTGGCCCCTAGAATACACGTAATTTTTTTATTAATTTGTACAGGCCACAACGGTACAAGAGCGGACACAGTTTCTAAAATATTTACAAATAATTTCAGAACCCAAGATATATACGCCATTATTTAAGGCCTGAGCGGACAATTACTGATAAAAATGGTTCGTATTTGACTGATCACTGGCCAATGTTGATGAATGGGTAAGTAGTGTCCGCCCTGGTGACCGCTGTGGCTTGATGGAAGTATAGCTTATCGGATATATAACGATGTCCGCCCTGGCGCTGAATGTGTTAAAATTCTACAGTAGGCGATACTTCTACGTTTATGATGTAAGTAACAGACCATAATAATCCGGGGAATTTTGAATGCGCATACTTAGCTCTAGTTCTAGTTATAAAATCTCAGTAAGTGTGTTCGAAAATCTAACAAAAAAACTGTATTCCTTTTTAAAAAATAAGCCTATTCCTAATGCAACACTTTTAGAAATATTACACGAAATTGAGAAAAAATCGAATAATCACTGATCTACCAAAAAAAAAAAACTTATCTAAAGTTATGTTCAAGTGTATAGGGAAAAGTAGGACACAAAAGACTTTGAAAATAATGTCGGGTATAGGTGCTAGAGCCATCTATCAGGTATCACCACACATGATTGTTCGTGCCCATGCAGAGGGAAATTGTTGTTTTTTAGCAACACAATTTTTTCCAACAGCCAATTATAAGGCTTTGAAATGTCAATGTTGTTTATTACTATTAAACATATAAATAAGATAATTTCACACTTCTCGCAGAGAGAAATTATGTTCATTGCATAATCAGTTTTAAATTAATAATCCCCATGGGATTGGATTGGAATACGTTTCGTTTTAATTGATTCTCTAAGCCCCCATTTCCCCTATTGTTACACCAACCAACAGTTTCATGTACACTTGTCAGGTTTGGTTTATTGAGCTTCTTAAAATGCAACCTATAATCGTCTTGATCGACCAGTTATCCGCCGACCAATAGAATTATAGATTGGTAAGTTTATCTTGTAGGCAGTTACCAGTAAGTTTATTTGAAGATGAATAAACCGGGCCTCAGACAAATAATAGAGGCTTGTAACGGAAAGGTTAGGGAATTCGTTGTGAAAAACTTGTTTTTGTCAACATCTTAGTAACAAAATGCTAAATTGGCATATTTTAACGAGGAGGTACGACCAAAAGATATTCAAATGATTATCGGCGAGGTATTTTCTATAATTGTAGGTTACTAATTTTGTTACAACTTCTTTTCAAGCTATGCACCATTCAAATTAAGTCTGCATTGTGGTTTAACTGGCTAATTATGAGTTCGATCATCGATAAATTAGCAAACCAAGAGCATTTCTTGTTCTTTATTCTTTTTCAAAAACGTTTTATTAGCGTTTAAAGTATTCTCATGTAAATTATAATACGTTTTTGAAATTGTTCTTCCTTATGCGTATTTGTGGAGAAAGTTATAGACTAAAAATTATAAAAAATATTTCCTGCTAAACCTCAACCAAATTTAATATTTCTTTTATATATATATATATATTTCTTTTATATTCCACTACTTTTGCACACAAATTTTTAAATTTTGCACACCTTTGTGGAGAAATTTATAGACTATCAAAAAATTAATATCCCTTCCTCAACCAAACCCTACATTTCTTTCACTGTTTTTATTCTACTAACGCACCATTCACTTTTTGATTTTGATTGATTTGAGTCTAATAGGTCTCCACAAAGCTGTGAAAATTTAAAAATTAGTGTGAAAAATTGTACAAAATTAGTAGAATAAGTATAACAGCAAAGGAAATGTTAAGTTTGGTTAAGGATGGCAGGCAAATATTCATTTCCTGAGTCTAAACCTTTCCTTCCTCTACTAAGGTGTGCAAAATTTTAAACTGAGGGTGTAAAATTGTGCGAAATTATTAGAAGAAATATAAATGGTAAAAATTTTGTTAGAGGAGTATTAATTTTTTGTCTCCATACTTTCTCCACAAAGGTGTGCAAAATTTTTAAATTAACGTGCAAAATTAGTAGAACATAACAGTGAAATAAATATTAGGTTTCTCTATTTATTAGGACCATACCTGTCCTATCATAGCTATTCCAGTAAAAATTTGCCAGTGAGTTGATAAATTAAATTATTTTCATTCCTTGCAATCGACCTCATTTTACCATATTCTGTGGCTCTGTGTATAAAGAAAGCATAAAAATAAATGCAATATTAGGCAATGCTCGTGAGCTTCCGTTTAATGTTAACATAATCTGTCAAAAGTAATTGAACTTAAACGAAGTGTTCTATTTTGATTTCGGCAAAAAATATTGAGCGGTAACATTGATTAATATGTAGCTGCTTCTAAATATAATCGCGCGATTTGATTTACTTTTTGTGTATCGTATATAAATCTGAAAACTACTTAATTTAGTTGAAGTGTTTTTTTAATAGGCATTACGTTAGTCTTAAACTATTATAAAAATACCAACGGCTAATATTTGTTCGGAGAAAGTAACCGCGTGTCTATTTATTTTAGTAAAAGCCAAAAATATGAGTTTTTTTCGATTTTGAGGTATTGCTGGTAAATTTTTTTGATATAGAAAATATGGGTACATCTATAGAACAGAGATACATACGATAGAGTTGACATTTAAGTAATACAAACATACGTTCACTCAAAGTTTACTCGAACAAATATTTTTTTTTATTGATTTAAATAAATTTATTAAAATTTTTGATGAGATAGCTACTGTTATCCTATCGACTCCTAAATTTACTTCGTATTTAAATATTATTTTACGAAAAAAAAAAAAAAAGAATTGCAAAAATTAAATAAATAAGAAAAATAAAAATATATGTAAGATGATAAGTTGACTTAACTAAATGAAATATTTCAAGTCTCTCATCATCATGCTTTATCAAACGCATTACAAGTTTGTTGTTTGAATCAAAATAGAGTAAGTAGGTACCTGCAAATATTTTTTTAGAAGTTCCAGGGCCAATTAACTAATGAGTTCTCAGGGGGCTCTAACATTACACTTAAGTTTTTTCGAACGCTATGAAACACTTCAACAAATTAAAAACACCCGTGCACTTATTAGTGTCCATCCAGGCATCGCTTTCAATAGACATTTTTCTTCTGGTGATTATTTATCTGAGTTTTTCATGCCTGAAAACGATTGAAACTTTCAAACCAAAGCGCGCTGTCGACGAAACTTTACGAACAACCCAGCAACGCTTCATGATGATGTTTTCCGTCTCTATGTTACGCATCGCTGGAACTGACTGCTTAGCATTTATTCTATGCCAGTCTGGATGTTCCCGTTTACTTCCGCGCTGGAGAGATGGAATACTGCAATTGCCCTGCGCCGTATTTGACCGCGGATTATAGACTCATTTCAAACTTTTCTGGAGTTAATGGATTTTTATATATAAAAAATGTCGTTTCTACGACACAATTAAACAACACCTCTAAGTAGAAATATTGGTTTTTCTTTTTTGTGATTTATAGTGTTTGCGGCTTTTCTTTCATAGAACGCTACTATTTCGTTGATCAAATAAACTGACCTATTTTTTTTAAAATGTAGTCGAAAACTTAGATCTTTCAGAGCATTTAATAACATCTATTTATCCATACCTGGGTGGCAGATCCATAGAGATTTATGTTCGATGATCGTTTCTCCTTTCTGAGGCCGGTTACCTCCGGGCTACCTCAGGGCTTTTGCACTGGACCACTCTGTTATCTCTTTATACACATTAACAAACGGCTCAGATGCACCTATAATCCCGATACTCACAACACAGCAGCATCAAAGTTTAAATGCATACAACTGTTTGTTAATCCTCTTCCGACGGATGTCCTGCATTGTCTAATTTTTGCCTTTGTTGATGACAATTCCGTCGTTGTTAAAAAAAAGGTCGACATATCTCGATGCAGGTAGCACGAAACATAACACTTGAAGAACTTTGCGATTGGTCTATTAATCATAATATAGAACTAAAGCGTGAAAAATCTGTAAAGTTTTCGAGTCGGAATATTAGATGTCGTTGGAAGCCCACTGTCTGGATGGGTCTGCCAGGCTTAACAGTGGGTGCTTCGGTTTTCGAAACATAAAATTTATTTTCGACCAACAGCAGCTGTTAAGCGTCTAATACGCTACTGTGCAGTCACGTTTTGTGTACGGTATTCAGTTTTGCTGCACTTCATCACATACAGACAGGCTGTTTAGGTCACAGAAACGTGTCGTGCGATGCATAGCTGTTATATCCACGAAACTTTCGAAACCTATATAACAAATCTCGTATTTAAACTGATTGCAGCCAAACTTCTATTTAGACAGACTCAATATTTACTACTTCGCGCTATTTATAGTCAGAATCGTACTCCGGATCTATCTAGAAAAACAAGTTTATCGAAAATAATCTAATATATCTACCAAATGTGTTGTTCAAAGAAAAGTCCCAGAAACCCTGGTAGGTATAGGTACTTCCAATATTTAACCATCGACTCCTTTTATCTCAGAAATTGCGAAGAAAAGCTCCACAAATAATCTCCCGTTTTACCAATAAAAAATATTCGAACAGCAATGTGACTCGTTTTAAGAAAAAAATTACATCAACTTGTCGCTACCTATTTAGGCAAGAATTGCCGACGGATGTAGTGACCTTAGAAATTAGCCAGGAGAAACCTCAATATTAATTTTATTAGAAGACAGTGAAGATACAGAATAGTGCGGTCAATGAATAGCGCTGATTTCTCAATTTTATGAATTTATTTGAACAGTGCTATTCAATAAATCGTACTTCCGGAAGCGGGCCTTTGAACTTAATCCCTCAATCCTCAAACTCTGGATTTGCCCTAAATTATTTGCCCTTCTTTATCCTGTCCCGGAATAACGGAAGCACAATATTGTAAAATATTCAAGTGAAAGTAAATTAAATAGTAAACTTGTATAAAATATAAATCGCGGGACACAAAGAATTGAACAACAGCCTAAACCTCTAACCAAGCACAACATAGCGATAAATAGAATCTTGTCGACAATATCATATGAATTTTGGCATGTTAAATGAAATCCCGTTGCAGCTAAGTGGGAATTATGGAATTGAATATTCGAACACTTTCAAACAATTAAAGAATGAAGGCTTTCACCAGCCGATACTTTCATGGCGGTAGATGTCTTCTGGGCTTGTGAGCCGTCGTCCTAATCAGCGGTAGATAAGACGGCGAATTCTTCGTCTTTCCTCATCGCCTTTGATTATGCCTACCGCGATTGTAGGCAAACTTCAGGATGTGATACATACAGATCAAGGCCCAAAAGCTGAATGCAAGGTACTAAACAGTTAATAAATCGGAGAAACGCAAAAGCCTAATTTCGAATACCTGTTCGTCATCAGTGATAATATTTATATAAATAAAGGGTCATTCTCATAGATAGACGCTTTTGCAATTCCCCCTATGCAAACAACAACATGCCTACCAACTAGGGAAATCATGTGAGACAGCGGCTCACAATCTCGTTGCGGGGGTGGAAACCGCGATTCACAACAAAGAAATAGCCCTTGATGCGATGGTCACCGCCGCAGCAATGACATGGAGTTGACAACACCACCTGCAGGTGGATACACACAAAACATGCATAAGTAACAAATAAATATTGGTTTCGATGCTTAATGTGCGGTAAATGGGCTCCATGAGCTTAGACTTCGTATCACCTATTTTCATTCCACCCTTTACATCATATAGTTTTATGTTGCGCACAATTGCCCTGACCATTACGCATCATTACCCGCATAGGGTGGGTAATGGTGCTACTCGAGGATGCCATCAAGGCGGCGTTCTATCGCCACTCCTATGGAACCTAGTGGTGGATGAGTTGCTCGTGCGTCTCAGCTCACAGGGATTTTAGGCTCAAGGGTATGCAGATGATGTACCGATACTCGTCCAAGGGAAACATCTCAGGGTCATAGCAGAAGTTATGCAAACAGTCCTGATAGTTGTACAACGCTGGTGCGAGGAAGCAATACCAGAAAACCGCCATAGTACCTTTCACTAGACGAGGGAACATGGGTGAATACAACCTAAGCATCTTCGGAGAAAGGATGATAATAGTTGATGAAATGAAATACCTAGGTCTAATCCTGGACGCCAAGTTAACATGGAACTCACATCTAGAGAGAAACCTTAACAAAGCCAAAATGTGTCTAGTTAGATGCAGATGTCTGTTGGGAAAAACATGGGGTCTGAGACCAAGGATGATGCTATGGCTGTACGTCATGCGGTTATCAGGCCCATAGTTGTATACGGAGCTGCAATATAGTGGACAAAAGCACAACAAGTAAGGACAGTCAATAAGCTGAACAGCCTTCAGAGACTGGCATGTCTGTGCACCATTGGGGCTATGAGAAGCACACTTACTGCAGCGCTGCAAGCAATTCTGGGGCTACGTCCCCTCAATGTTCACATTAAAATGGCAGCCATAGTTAACGCCCACTGGATAAGGTCTTGCCGGGGCATGGGAAGAAGCACCAGGCAACTACGGCCACACAAAGGTTATCGACCTGATGGAAGTGCAAACGAATCGAATGGTGGTAACCCATCCATATGTTTGAAAACCTATTTAAAGTCATATGCGATCCAAGCATATGGCAATATGGCAGGAAGGAACGCCTCATATAATAAGAAGAGTCTGGTATACAGACGGCTACAAAACAGCGGATGGAGCTGGCGCTGACGTATATGTAGAAAGACCAAAATCAGAACAAAGCATCCCTTGGACTTAATGCCACAGTTTACCAGGCAGAAATTCATGCAATTCAAGCATGCGCACAGGAGATTCTAAGGTTGGGTCATAACAACCGAGACCTTTATTCTTGAAACAGGGGAGCAGCATTATCAGGAGAACGAGTGTTCCGTATTTCTCAATGATATGCAAATGATTATATAAGTAACAAAGATGGAACACTCGTTCTCCTGGGAACGCTGCTCCCCTGTTTCAAGAATAAGGACGCAGAACATAAATATTCACTCAGACAGTCAGGCTGCTCTCAACTCTTCGAAAATAAAGATGGAATCCCTACACGACCTGGAAGCTCTGTGGTCAAGAAATAACAGGATAAAGCTCCTGTGGACTCCTGAACATTCGGGGATAGAAGGCAACGGAAAGGCTGACGAACTGGCCCAACCGGGCGCAGCTGCACCCTACAAAAGACCAGAACCCGCATTTCGGACATCAAAGCAGGTTATAAAGACTGCAGTCGAAAGGTGGTTGACCCAACAACACCTCGACTATTGGCGGTCCTCGCCTGGAGCAAGACACTCAAAGGGGATAATTGAAAACCTCTCAAAGATGCTAACAGCTAAAGTACTGTCACTAACGCGTACTCAGATAAGACAGGTGGTAGGACTACTAACAGGACACTGCCATCTTAAAGCGCACATGCATACAATGAAAGTCTACAATGGCCTATCGACATGTAGACTGTGTGGTGAAGAAGAGGAAACCGCCTTACACATAATATACGACTGTGAAGCAATGGCTCGCAGAAGAGGCAATTTATCTGGAGAAATACAACGCGGCGAGAGACTCCCGCATGAGAAACACTTGCCAGCAAGCTGCTAGGTCTCATTCATCAAAGGGACGGAAGCTTAAGGATGATGAGTGCCACAATAAGCCTTAAGGCTGCAGTGCAAATCGGGACATGAGCACGCCTGACGCCGCCTTAAACCAACCAACCAACCAAGGGTGATTCTTGTATGTACCTACATCCATAAAAGTTTAAAAAAAATCTCCAAATATATGGTGAAGAGTGTTCTCTAAAACGGTGCAGCTACAGCAAACACATTTGTAGACGAACGTATACAAAGGTTCTACATGCAAACGTCTATATTTGAAATTCATTTCCAACCGCAGCCAGAGGACCAAAAAAAAAACGTCACCTTATTATTGGATGGAGCAGATCATAATATATGAACCAGTCAGGAAGCTAAAATCTAGAAAATAAGCAGCAACGAGAACCTTAATTATACAAGAACCACTACTCGGAAACTGTAATAAACGATTTACCCCAGATTGAAAATATGAAAACACGTGAACAAATATTTCAAACTGTTATGAATGCGGGTTCGCGAATTTATGAGGACTTATGTAGAACTTATTTCAAACAAAAACCAAGACAAAAATAGCACAAATGCATTGCATCACTGAAAATAAGTTTAACTTTTCGCAAAGCTGTGCCACTATAAATGAATACCTAACTGTCCGATTAACAACAGACCCACTATGACTTAACAAACTCCTTTTATATCATTTTGCTCCTTCTGTAATTTTTAAATTATATGCCTTATAATAGTAAATTTCAGGATGATTATCACCCGCTTTCAG